TTTTGGGAAAGCGCAGTCGTCCTCTGGAGCACCAGTTCACCTTTAAGGATCACTCTGGTTAGGTCATGTGTAACGCAGCCCCCAAATTGGATTTCCAAAGCGTGTTATGTTTGCGAGAAGTTGGTTGAAGAAAGTCAAGAATGATCGGACTAAGGCCTGGGGTGAGGATATGAAAGCCCTGAAATGAGGCTATCATGTGGACAGCATATGACCTTTAAGTTGGGGATCTCAGGATCGGCGTCTCGACTGGCTAGATACATTGCGTGACATGTTTGTGTCGTGAAAGGCTGCACGGGTGCATCCACTCCTTCGCCAAGTTAATTAAATTTTATTCCGTGCCGTACCCTCGGTACTGCATTCAGCTTTTATGCATCCAAATCGGAAACAAAAAAATCAGCAACCGAAACCTCTGCATGAAAGTATAAGGTTAACGATGCATGAAACGAAATCAACTGAACGATTAAACGGTGCACGGTGGCTGGTTGAAACAAACTCAGTTTTTGATCACATTAAAACTAATATTATAGGAGGTGAGGGATTAACATCGTCTGAGATTTCTAGCTGCTTTAGAATACGTTCGTTCTATTCATCAAACAACTTGCATCAGAGCAAGGAATCGCACAGCATAGTTCCCAACAGGACGATTACCTGGCCGAGTCCGGGTTGCTACGAATGAGCATAAACGCTCGCGTGTAATCACCCAATGCAAGCTGATGCTTGAACATGCGGGTCCAGAGGGCAGCCTCCAGGTCAGCAAGACGAATATATAATTTACCCGTCATCGTTGATCGATCAAAAAGATCTTAGAAGTGGGAAAAGGGAAAACAGGAACGGTGATTGAGAATGTGCTGATGAATACTGTTGAACGATTTTTAATTTACCCTGAATGACTGATGGGGTTTGGCGGATAGTTGTCTGTTTTGAAACTTATTCGCGACGATCAGAAGCTGTCTTCATGAATTCTTGAAATCTAGTCGAAAGCGATACAACAGAAATCAAGTATAAGAGTAAGCCATTGAGATAATCAATTATTCCAGTCCTGAAGCCATCATATTAGATAAGTAAAAATCAAAGGGTCTGGAAATGGTGACAACCATTAAACAATGTGGATGATAATCATTCACAACTTCTTATATGCATCCTATATGTGATACAGATGAGAAAATCTAGGGAACTTCCCCTACCCCTGTTATGCATAAGAGCAAATACGTTCTGGTACAATAAAAACTATTTCAGAGTATCTTGATGGAAGCCCCTAATAGCCTTTTAGTAACAACGTGGATAGACAGATATCGTCGTTCTGAAATTCATTCGAACTTTACGAACACGAGACTGTATCATGACACTGTGTGATGGTTAGCGCGCCTGGACGACCCTACGAGCTATACAGGATAGCTTCTTGATGGCGCGGATGCAATCATGCCTGAAAGGTCAATGGGTAGGGGACAGACAAAGCTCAGTCTCACAAGGCCAGCTGCTTGGGCATCTCCTGGCCTCCTTCGACTATCCACTTTCACCCCTGAGGCAGTCCAGCAAATGAAAACGGAGATGAGCAGTCTACCAGATAAAGAAAAACCGCTAGATGGGCTTAGAAATACGGTACCTGGGGCTTCCCCCGAACGATGAGGGGTGTCTTCGCACTTCGCTGGGCACCTGCCACCCGCCCAAGCTGGGCAGCCGCCAGCCAATAAGGTGCTGTTCCATCCAAGTGCTTCCATTCGGTGCACGACACTAAAGGCCAATTCCGAACAGAAGACCGTTAATAAATACACCAGCGAACAAAGCCACGAACCAAAACCCAAAGGCCTTGCGTAACAGATCTATAGAAGCTCCCACATGGATGCTTCTTTCACGCTTCACATTGGATCTATGTCCCATTAGCTTTTGGGTCAGAATCTTGAACTGAAGGCTCGAGTTGGGGTTCCCAAGGGAAAAACAAAATTCCACGGCTTGGCAGCTTAGGATTTTAACTCAAAGGGACCGGCCAATGTTCCTAAAGAAAATCCCTTTGTCAGTGTGGGCTATCGTGAGGTATGTTCTGCCTTAGTTTAAAGCAAAAAAGCAGAGTTTCGGGCAGTATGGGACTGTTCCTATTAGCTTTTAAAGATAGAACATCAACCTTGGTGTTGGAGTTGACGAAACTCCTGGATCCAATATTGAAGGGAACAAGTTCCAACTGACCGGCGTGAATCGGTCGTCTTACCGATTAACAAAAATGGNCATCCTCCAAACTTCTCATTGGTATTATACTTCGTCGATTGTTCACCGTATGTAAACGGTGCACGTGTGAGAATTAGGCTGGTTTTAGACCTGATCAAAGTTGTATCGACCACATTTTCACTATTCAACAAATTTAAGAACACACATACAACTTTCGTAGACCCAGCATTTTGGTCTTCCTCGATCCGAAAGCGGCCTTTGACTCAGTCGATTGTTCTATGGTCTGGATCTGACCAATCTTGAAGAGTGTGTCCGAGTTTATTTTAATTTGATGATCTCACGCTAATACCCAAAGCTAAGTCCAGGATTACAGTACATTTTCGCTTGAGTTCACCACAAAAAGCGGTGTTCGTCAGGGTTTTTTTTATTACACACCCAAGTGCGATGAACAGCAAACGGGGTGAACCCCATAGTTAAGAGGACCAGTTGTTCTGTGATGGAAACCGACAACCTAAGCTCCGAGACTTGGAGTGGCGAACCACATCAGGCCTCGATAGGTTAGGTGTGGTATTGAACCGGACGGCAGCAGAGCTGCCTACGACCACAGTTGGGTGGCGGTGGCGGGGCTCGAACCTCGGACCATACGGTCCAAAGCACGCCGGTGACAGCGACCACTACGCCACAACCACCCAACTTCCGGAAATAGCCCTGACCTGCCCGTGTGCGAGGATAGTGACATCGATCTGCTCTAAGGTGACAAACTATCTGACTTGGAGTAAGCATGGTACTGCTAAGTGAAGAAAAGGTAAATTGTAAGCCTTTCTATGTAGTTTCAATGATAGTGCACCCCTATTCGGTATGCGTTTTGCATCCTCAGTGAAAAACGTTGCTACGAAACTGGTTTGATCCAGCACATGTCACCAAATGGATTTCCACTGCACTGAATATTTACTGAGGCAGGATGTGGATGGAAAAATTGCAAAGGCAGTCAAACTGAGACCTGGCATGCAGACACGAAAACGCCAACCAGGAGACTCGGCCATATAGGTCGCGTTGGGCTCCCTGGATGGGGAGATGGAAGATGGGGATGGTAATCGCGAGTTAGAGACACTGATATGGCCGTCGCAAACAGTGACGCGCGTGTATCTACTCATTATCCTTGCAATCCTAGCTCACGTAAATTCTCTATCTTCTCCTTGACTGCTTCAAACTTTCTAATCTTCCTTCTGCTTTTTTGAATTGACTTGCTCTTTTATTCAAATGAGCCACTTAAAGACAGCAATGAAAACCGGCGCACAAACGTGCATCGTTATCGGTTGTACATGACCCTTCAAGTGAACTGGGTTTACGGCTTCTGCCAGGAAAACTCTACTCGTTGTCTTCTCGTGATGAAAATGTTCTCATGGTGGTGAGACGACGAAATGATATAAATCGATTGGCAAACCACTGTTGTGTGGCTCGTTTCAGAGGAATCGGATTCCGTACCACCACCCACCCCCCACCCCCAAATGACCAGCCTTATGAACTCCATCACAGAACATTTGGACACATAGTCACAGATGCGATCGGACATGGAGGTGCATTGGATACCCTGGATGTAGTAAGCATCTTCGCTATCATCCGGCTCAATAACACACCTAAACGAGAGTGCGGTACGCAATCCCAAGTACATGAAGAAAGAAAACACGAACTCTGAGTATTTTTATAACTGTTCCCCCTTCCCTAACATTGGCATCTTGTTTTCCTCAGGCTGATCATTAAATCCATGAAAATTTGCAGAACCGTCGAGGATGGCTCACGCACTGTTGGAGGCCGGTCACAATCATACCAATCCCCAAAGCATCCAAATCTTCTATCCTCTCCAAACCTTTTTCGTCCCATAGCATTAACATCTTCAGCTCTTAAACTGACTGAAAAGGTCATCCTCAAACGCCTTCAGCAGTCTATAAACATTCCCAGTGATCCGTTACAGTTTGCTTACAAGCCTAATAGATGGACCTTGGACGCAGTCTCCACCCTCCTTCATTTCATCACTAAATCTTTGAACAGCTCTGTTAAGTCTGTTCGGTGTTTTTCTCGACTACTCTTCTGCAGCTGATTCCACTCCTCAATCTAAGTTGTTACAAAAGCTGGAATCATTTGAATGCCCCACGCAGTTGTTACCTTGGTTATCAAACTATTTCACCGATAGGGTACAAACCATTAGATTTGGGAAGGCCACATCGAAACCCTTAGTCAACAACTCCGGGGTCCTTCAAGGAGCTGTGCTATCCCCATACTTATTTTCCACTTATATTTGTGATATTCCCTGTGTTTCTCCCGCACGAATTTTGAAATGTAAAGATGAAGTGTTGTATCAACCCATTTCTTCTTACTCTGATCTAAGCTCTTTTACCGATAATCTTGATCAAATTCAGTCATTCTCCTCCTCATCGGGGCCAACCCTGAACCCCAGTAAACGTGTTGAGTGTTTATATAGTTTTGCTCGATCCCCATATCCGACAGACTCCACAGTGACTAATAATCTTTTATCCAGGGTGAACTCTGTCAAATATCTTGGTGTAACCATAGATAGCAATCTTCATTGGTCAACCCAAATCCATAGCTGCATTGGTAAACTGCGGCGTCTTTCATTTCAAATACGAAAGCTCAGGCAGTTTCGCGCATCCCAGTCAATTATTTCTACCTTTGTGTACCAGTGTGTTTTCCCCATCTTACTCTACTGTTCCCCAGATATTTTTCCTGATTTACTCAAACAGGATTTCAAAGTCTTACGCCACAGTCTAACCATTATTAGTCGTGTATCTTCTATTTCTGTGAATGAATTTGCTGTAGAGCTCACAGAGTATCACGTAACTTCCTGTGTGAAATTTGCTGAGNTGCTGAGGGGATTCTCACAGATCCTGACCACTCATTGCATGCAGAACTGACACTTTGACGTTCCCATCATTCAACACGCTCCCAATTCCGCCAAATTTCATCTCGAATTAACGCATACCGCAATTCACCCATACCGTATCTTGCTTGTCTACTCATAAACAAAGAGCGGACAATAAGTGAACTTTGTCTTAACCTTGGATTATGAAATGTCCCCATGCCTGTAAAAACTTTTCTCCCAGTTGATTATGTACATTGTGACGGTTAGCGTGTATGATTTTTTTTAACTGAAATGTGAGCTCCAGTGCTTGCAAACGTTATACACAATACACAATACTCTCGTACGAATGAACAGCATGAAGATAAACCACTGTAGGCGATACAGGAAAAACATTCATATTAATCTGCGTGCTACGTGCAAGACATCAACCGACATTGAAAACCAGAAACCATCGGAGTAGATCGATGAAAGAAACAGGACACAAATGATGAAATAACAAATGTCAAGTGGAAACGGACAATGCGTCAACTGGTGAGGACTGAGGCTAACAACCACAATACCGGGAAATGAAAACCACGTGTCTAATAGAGCAGAATAAGGCACACACTTAGTGATGCACAAAGAAGTCACGAGCTCAATCGATGTAGAACAATACATTTACCACAATAAACACTCACTTTCATCCGGAACCGGTTCGCAAAGAAAACCCTCGTCTGAACCGTCGTGGTGAGCATGTAAACCGGTTAAAACTGTGGTAACGCGACGTAACCAGGGGGCTTGCATAGTTGTGCTCAGTTCGCCACTCACGCTTGGAACAAGACGAACACTGGCCAATCGATTTAAAGCGAACTCAACCAAATTGATCACTTGAGCGACACAATCTTTGGCCTCTAGCACGGGCATGACCTGTGACACGAATGAATATTGGTGTACAATTCATCGAAAGTTACAAGTACTTATTCATCATTTGAAATATCAACCCCGAACGTGTATTCGGAGTGTCACTGCTTTTAGTGAACAGCTCTATGACATTTTTAGGGCTAGATGATGCAACCCGAATGAAAATTTTGTAAGCTATGTACGAATTGAGAAAGTGACAAGACACTCCTATTCTAATCAGAAATCTATATATTATACTAATTGACTAACGTGGAACGATGCGCCGAAGCTATTTATGCAGTGCATTCTAGTTTACGCATGAGCACCGTCCATGGCTCAATCAGTCGAGAGATTAATTGTTGCCTGACTGGTTTGATCAACTGCCTTCACACCGGTAGCCAATGAAGTGATACTACTATGCGAAAAATTCACAGCGTTGAGGCCGGAATCGCGTCGCCATTATATTTTCTCCGATAAGGACGGGGGAAGAGGTTGCCCATTTCCAAGAGTGGTCCATCTGACCAAAACTTTTCCTGTTCACCACAACGGGTGTTATAAAAATGAACAAACGAAGGAGAACAGATTATGGGATCGCGTAAATTGAGTCACAGAATACCTTCTGATGACAGAACTACAGACTCTGTTGTGAAAGTGTAGCTCACAGCTCTTCTGCATTCGATATTCTCGCTGAAGTGAACGAACATTGCGGTAGCACTCGAAACGGTGCAGTTGTTGAACCCAATTGAAAAAACGAGGAAAATTGATCAACCGTACAACAATCACCTCAATCGTTTTCCTACACCACTCAAAATATCAAGCTTGAATTGACTGACCTTCATAAGAAAACGCAGCTGGGCCTCGTCTGGTGAAAATCCATACACGGGAGTGCAGTAGAGCTTATCCGGGGCAAACGATTTGGCAAACAAGGAGCATAGCAACAATTCGTTCAAGCCTGGCGGAGTGACAACAGATCGACAAAATGGAGCCATTGAACTGTTACCGCTGCTCTCATTAGCAGAAGCCTCTATGTACCAATGCAACCAGGTGGACGCTTCAATGAACTCTTCCTTGGCAAGCTCCGGTTGGCTGAATTTTAAGGTGGATTAACAAGGGATTGATTCAGACGGGGAGTTGTCCAAATAGATTGGACTGTAGCTTAAAAGACTGATGCATACACTGTTCCCACAGGGAGGACCCCACGCTGGGGAATGAAAAGCAAGTACTGATATGGGATTAGTGCAGTCTTTGTCAGTGTAATAAGCGGAAGGAGTGATAAACACCGGACACTTTAAGTCGTAAAACATGAAAGAATTCGTAAGAGCTCGCGTCGTGCGCTATAAAACTAGTAATATGCACAGGAAAACCGTTAATTCTAGTGATGTGTCACGCAAACTAGAACAGTACTCTACAATGATCGAATCGGTTCCTGGAAGACAGTATGCAGGCGAAACATTTGGACAAACTGGGGAGATTCCCTCAATAAAGCATGGTTCACAATATCGAACCGCACCGCATATGATGACAGACAAGACACTGAGATAATTAATGTTTGATAGGGCTATTTAAAAAAACTAAATGCCACATTTCATCTGCCCAACTACGGTGACTAGATTTATAAGAAGCGTATGGAATTATAGAGAGATACATTCAGGAGAGGTTAAACCGTTGAATACTAGTTTCTACATATGGATCAAAAACCACGTTTAGCGTGGATTAGTGGACGAGCTTCGGACCCTATGGTCCGATGTTCGAACCGCATCGCCGCCACCCAACTGTGGTGGTAGACAGCTTTGCTATCACTCAGTTTAATACCACGCCTAAACTAGCGGGACCTTACGTGGTCCATTACTCCAACTCCCTGGTCTTTTCTAAGTTGCCTGTTCCCATCAATGAATGGTAGGTTTACACAATCGTGAGGTTTAGCCCGTCTGTTGTTCAACACACAAAAAATGTGTAATAAAAAAGTTATCGTTACCACTCAAAATTGCGGAATTTTGAGGACTGGAAACTTATCTAATTGAGAATAGACGGGAAGTTAACGTAAGACAAATGTGTCGCACGTGTCACATGGTGGAGAGGAAAATTGTCAATCTCATGATACAAGAACTGACTCAGTTATGAGACCGGACATGCTGTCCAGATGGTCCGCCCGAAACCCCAAACCAGTTGACCGCTACCTATTATAAATGCTCGTAAAAGGAAGATGATTTTAAACGGCTTACCATACTTGAGCACGTCGCGAGAGGGACTCGCTGTCGTCAGTATGGAAATGGTCCCGTGAAATCGCAGAGGCATCATTTCAGTTTTACAAGTGAAGGTATTAGCAAGTTTTACCATCGGAACATGAACGGAGGCTTTGAAGTACCTCGGACTCAGTTCTGGTACGCAAACATAAGAACACAGTCTGTCTCTTCGTCTAAAGTATGCTAGTGTGCACCTGTGCATAGATTGTGGTGACATATCTTAAGAACAACCTAGTGAAGTCAGCAAACACGTTGTCAATGGTTACTGAACGTCAAATCGGTAACCTTTTGGCAGCAGACTGAACGCAAAAAAAGATCATTCTGTAAACGACTGGTGCCTTTTAAAATACGACTATTTCTGTGACATAGGATCGATGGTCACACTGCATTCGAAATTGAATAGGCAATGGAGCGCTTATAATCTGAGCACTTCACCAGTAACATAAAGCAACTGGAAACATCCTAACTGAACAAAAACGACACTTGAAGAAATTGAAGCGGTCATGCTGAAGTGGTATAATAATAACAGTAGTTGGATAGATAAAGAAACTCACTCCAGCCAAATCCGTGCCAGACCAACACACAAGTGCAACAAGGAATGGTCCACATTGCAATACCAACTGTCCACATCTTCATTTGCCGATTCAGCCTCATCACAATCAAAATGTCTGGAAGCAACGTCGATGGGCGTGCGATCGGACGGAGCGAGCAAATGACTCAGATGAATTAAGGCAGATGCCTGAGGAGAATGAACAAAGGTGATCGGTGAACTCAGTTAAGTACTAGTAAACAATAATTTGGTCATTAAGGTTCTCAAAGCGCTAAGGGAAGAGGCGAGATATAATATAAAACATAAAAATGAACGGTGGATATGGAGTGGTGATGACCTCTGATAAGATCGAAACACGAGTCTAGTGCTTCCGAGTGTATGGTTGAATCGATGAACTGTGTTGTCAGAAACAATAAAAAAATATCACGAAAAGTTTCGCTTTCAGTTTGTGCAACCATAAACTATGCACTATCGTGCGCCGGTTTAGGATGCTGCGCTTTGGCTGCCCATTTGGATAAACAGTAGGAGAAAGGTAGGAAAGTTGAAAGTAAAATCGAAGAGAAAATGGAGAACTTTAGAAGATTAGGGTGGCAAATAAACTGAGAAGAGGCACCAGCGACACTGTCTACGACACACCGCCACGTCGAACAGTATCGCTAATCTTGGATTACAATGATCCCCATCCAGGGAGCCTAACGCGAACTCTGTGACGGAGTTTCCCGATGAGCGTTATCACATCCTCATGCCAGATCTTACTTTGACCATTCTTGGATTTTTCCACTCACTTCCCGCCTCGGAAAACAGCGCAGACCGTGGCAACCTATTTGGTGGCATGCGCAACACATGTCCCAACCAGCGTAATCTATGGAGGTTGACCACTTGTCCCAGTGGGCGATCGCAACCAGTCAAAACTCTGCGCCTAACCTCAGCATCGCTCGTCCAGTTTCCCCACCAAACTGGTTCAATGCGGGGTAGATTGTGGTGTCAAAATACTGACAATCTATCTTTATCCTGTTCCCGTAATGGCCAAGTTTCTGTGCTGTATATCAGAAAGGACCGAACTACCGCAGCATACACTCAACCCCTCACGAACCGCCGGATGTCGCAGCGGCGCGAAAAGTGAGGCAGCAAACAAGTCTGTCCAAGTATCTCTACCACTAACAGATGGTTCGATGATTGCATTCGAAAACCACTGTATGGTCCAGAGTGAGTGCCTGGTTGTAACTGCACCTCGCGAAAAGCTCCTATACCACAGGCGTCTCTGCTGAGGAAATCCAACTCACTGTCTTCAAATGCGAGGTGTTTTAGAAATGAAGTAAGAAGATAAAAAGCCAACATCCGTGGTTATAACCGGGTCAGTGAAGCACTGGTAAGTCACCCAGGGGAGTTGGCTAAAAACCCTGATTCCACACTAAGGGTAAAAACCACACTCAAACCTTTCTAATTGTGGCGGTGGTTACCGGTTTGATTGAGCATCGGGGCGTATTAGGCACCTTGAACGTGTGACCCAGCNTGCCTGTGACCATGGGCGAACAGTAGTTTCCCGAGGCTAAGGGGTTAACCACTTCTGTTGTTCATTAAAATGATGTATGACAAAGTGGTCTGCGTACTGAGTTATCTTGAGAGATTCTTTGAAATGGTTAGTTATACACGTAGGAAATTTCGTCCGCGGTTAACAGAGCAGGAATAAGTAGGAGAAATGACTTTGTGGTAGAGCTAGCAGGATTAGAACATGAGTCGGAGTTTGATGCAAATACGACAAGTGCGACGCTAATTAGATCGGAGACTCGGTCTTT